GGTCAACCAGAGCCTAGGTCAACCAGAGCCTAGGTCAACCAGTGCCTAGGTCAACCAGAGCCTAGGTCAATCAGAGCCTAGGTCAATCAAAGGCTAGGTCAACCAGAGCCTAGGTCAATCAGAGCCTAGGTCAATCAGAGACTAGGTCAACCAGAGCCTAGGTCAATCAGAGCCTAGGTCAATCAGAGCCTAGGTCAATCAGAGACTAGGTCACCCAGAGCCTAGGTCAATCAGAGCCTAGGTCAATCAGAGCCTAGGTCAACCAGAGCATAGGTCAACCAGAGCCTAGGTCAACCAGAGCCTAGGTCAACCAGAGCCTAGGTCAATCAGAGCCTAGGTCAACCAGAGCCTAGGTCAATCAGAGCCTAGGTCAATCAGAGACTAGGTCACCAGAGCCTAGGTCAATCAGAGCCTAGGTCAATCAGAGCCTAGGTCAATGAGAGATTATGCCACCCAGAGCCTAGGTCAATCAGAGCCTAGGTCAATCACAGACTAGGTCAACCAGAGCCTAGGTCAATCAGAGCCTAGGTCAATCAGAGACTAGGTCACCAGAGCCTAGGTCAATCAGAGCCTAGGTCAATCAGAGCCTAGGTCAATCAGAGACTAGGCCACCCAGAGCCTAGGTCAATCAGAGCCTAGGTCAATCAGAGACTAGGTCAACCAGAGCCTAGGTCAATCAGAGCCTAGGTCAATCAGAGACTAGGTCAACCAGAGCCTAGGTCAATTAGAGCCTAGGTCAATCAGAGACTAGGTCAACCAGAGCCTAGGTCAACCAGAGCCTAGGTCAACCAGAGCCTAGGTCAACCAGAGCCTAGGTCAACCAGAGCCTAGGTCAATCAGAGCCTAGGTCAATCAAAGACTAGGTCAACCAGAGCCTAGGTCAATCAGAGCCTAGGTCAATCAGAGACTAGGTCAACCAGAGCCTAGGTCAATCAGAACCTAGGTCAATCAGAGCCTAGGTCAATCAGGGACTAGGTCACCCAGAGCCTAGGTCAATCAGAGCCTAGGTCAATCAAAGACTAGGTCAACCAGAGCCTAGGTCAATCAGAGCCTAGGTCAATCAAAGACTAGGTCAACCAGAGCCTAGGTCAATCAGAGCCTAGGTCAATCAGAGCCTAGGTCAATCAGAGACTAGGTCACCCAGAGCCTAGGTCCATCAGAGACTAGGTCAATCAGAGACTAGGTCAACCAGAGCCTAGGTCAATCAGAGCCTAGGTCAATTAGATAGTAGGTCAACCAGAGCCTAGGTCAATCAGAGCCTAGGTCAATCAAAGACTAGGTCAACCAGAGCCTATGTCAACCAGAGCCTAGGTCAACCAGAGCCTAGGTCAACCAGAGCCTAGGTCAACCAGAGCCTAGGTCAATCAGAGCCTAGGTCAATCAAAGACTAGGTCAACCAGAGCCTAGGTCAATCAGAGCCTAGGTCAATCAGAGACTAGGTCAACCAGAGCCTAGGTTAATCAGAGCCTAGGTCAATCAGAGACTAGGTCAACCAGAGCCTAGGTCAATCAGAGCCTAGGTCAATCAGAGCCTAGATCAACCGGAGCATAGGTCAACCAGAGCCTAGGTCAATCAGAGCCTAGGTTAATCAGAGCCTAGGTCAATCAGAGACTAGGTCAACCAGAGCCTAGGTCAATCAGAGCCTAGGTCAATCAGAGCCTAGATCAACCGGAGCATAGGTCAACCAGAGCCTAGGTCAATCAGAGACTAGGTCACCCAGAGCCTAGGTCAACCAGAGCCTAGGTCAACCAGAGCCTAGGTCAACCAGAGCCTAGGTCAATCAGAGCTTAGGTCAATCAGAGACTAGGTCAACCAGAGCCTAGGTCAATCAGAGCCTAGGTCAATCAGAGCCTAGGTCAATCAGAGACTAGGTCACCCAGAGCCTAGGTTAATCAGAGCCTAGGTCAATCAGAGACTAGGTCAACCAGAGCCAAGGTCAATCAGAGCCTAGGTCAATCAGAGACTAGGTCAACCAGAGCCTAGGTCAATCAGAGCCTAGGTCAATCAGAGCCTAGGTCAACCAGAGCCTAGGTCAATCTGAGCCTAGGTCAATCAGAGACTAGGTCAACCAGAGCCTAGGTCAATCAGAGCCTAGGTCAATCAGAGCCTAGGTCAATCAGAGCCTAGGTCAATCAGAGACTAGGTCACCAGAGCCTAGGTCAATCAGAGCTTAGGTCAATCAGAGACTAGGTCAACCAGAGCCTAGGTCAATCAGAGCCTAGGTCAATCAGAGCCTAGGTCAATCAGAGACTAGGTCACCCAGAGCCTAGGTCAATCAGAGCCTAGGTCAATCACAGACTAGGTCAACCAGAGCCTAGGTCAATCAGAGCCTAGGTCAATCAGAGACTAGGTCAACCAGAGCCTAGATCAATGAGAGCCTAGGTCAATCAGAGACTAGGTCACCCAGAGCCTAGGTTAATCAGAGCCTAGGTCAATCAGAGACTAGGTCAACCAGAGCCAAGGTCAATCAGAGCCTAGGTCAATCAGAGACTAGGTCAACCAGAGCCTAGGTCAATCAGAGCCTAGGTCAATCAGAGCCTAGGTCAACCAGAGCATAGGTCAACCAGAGCCTAGGTCAACCAGAGCCTAGGTCAACCAGAGCCTAGGTCAATCAGAGCCTAGGTCAACCAGAGCCTAGGTCAATCAGAGCCTAGGTCAATCAGAGACTAGGTCACCAGAGCCTAGGTCAATCAGAGCATAGGTCAATCAGAGCCTAGGTCAATCAGAGACTAGGCCACCCAGAGCCTAGGTCAATCAGAGCCTAGGTCAATCAGAGACTAGGTCAACCAGAGCCTAGGTCAATCAGAGCCTAGGTCAATCAGAGACTAGGTCAACCAGAGCCTAGGTCAATCAGAGCCTAGGTCAATCAGAGACTAGGTCAACCAGAGCCTAGGTCAATCAGAGCCTAGGTCAATCAGAGCCTAGGTCAACCAGAGCATAGGTCAACCAGAGCCTAGGTCAACCAGAGCCTAGGTCAACAAGAGCCTAGGTCAATCAGAGCCTAGGTCAACCAGAGCCTAGGTCAATCAGAGCCTAGGTTAATCAAAGACTAGGTCAACCAGAGCCTAGGTTAATCAGAGCCTAGGTCAATCAGAGACTAGGTCAACCAGAGCCTAGGTCAATCAGAGCCTAGGTCAATCAGAGCCTAGGTCAATCAGAGACTAGGTCAATCAGAGCCTAGGTCAATCAGAGACTAGGTCAACCAGAGCCTAGGTCAACCAGAGCCTAGGTCAATCAGAGACTAGGTCAACCAGAGCCTAGGTCAATCAGAGCCTAGGTCAACCAGAGCCTAGGTCAACCAGAGCCTAGGTCAATCAGAGCCTAGGTCAATCAAAGACTAGGTCAACCAGAGCCTAGGTCAATCAGAGCCTAGGTCAATCAGAGACTAGTTCAACCAGAGCCTAGGTCAATCAGAGCCTAGGTCAATCAGAGACTAGGTCACCCAGAGCCTAGGTCAATCAGAGCCTAGGTCAATCAAAGACTAGGTCATGTTAGAGTATACTACTCTGTTGTATCCTGCATTGATCCTATCAACCCTAGGATAGAGATAGGCACCCAAACAATGTTTGGGTGCACAACTAGGGTTAACCCTAGATGGGGGTTGGAACCCAACCTTGGCCCAATTATTGGACCCCAAGGTTGGGTTGGAGGATTATTGGTCCCCCCAATAATGTTGGCCCACTTTTGACCAACATTATTGGGACCCCCCAATAATTCCCCAACCCAACTTATTGGTGGGGGCCAATAATGTTGGCTAGGTACCAACCAACCCCCCCTTTTTCCTTAGCTCCAACTATGTAAGCCCGTATCATTCCTAATCAAACTATCGGTTCAATTCTCACATGTTATCAGAGCCCTTACGGCTAACGCCACTCAAGATCCTAGGACCATACCCTACCTCCTGCCGGCTCTGCCGTACCCCTTGCGCTCCTTAGCGCCCCTCCCACCTCTCAGCCGTGCCCCTTGCGCCTCTCAGCGCACCTCCCGCAGGCTCTGTCGTCCCCCTTGCGCCACTTAGCGCACCTCCCGCCGGCTCAGCCGTGCCCCTCGCGCCGCTCAGCGCACCTCCCGCCGACTCTGCCGTGCCCCTCGTGCCACCTCGGCGCCCCTCTCCTCACCACGTCCGCCCCCCGCGACGAACGCGCCCGTCAGCCGCGGACGCGACGAACGCGCCCGTCAGCCGCGGACGCGACGAACGCGCCCTTCAGCCGCGGACGCGACGAACGCGCCTGTCAGCCGCGGACGCGACGAACGCGCCCGTCAGCCGCGGACGCGACGAACGCGCCCGTCAGCCGCGGACGCGACGAACGCGCCCGTCAGCCGCGGACGCGACGAACGCGCCCGTCAGCCGCGGACGCGACGAACGCGCCCGTCAGCCGCGGACGCGACGAACGCGCCCGTCAGCCGCGGACGCGACGAACGCGCCCGTCAGCCGCGGACGCGACGAACGCGCCCGTCAGCCGCGGACGCGACGAACGCGCCCGTCAGCCGGGGACGCGACGAACGCGCCCGCCAGCCGCGGACGCGACGAGCGCGCCCGTCAGCCGGGGACGCGACGAGCGCGCCCGTCAGCCGCGGACGCGACGAACGCGCCCGTCAGCCGCGGACGCGACGAGCGCGCCCGTCAGCCGGGGACGTGACGAGCGCGCCCGTCAGCCGCGGACGCGACGAACGCGCCCGTCAGCCGCGGACGCGACGAACGCGCCCGTTAGCCGCGGACGCGACGAACGCGGCCGTCAGCCGCGGACGCGACGAACGCGACCGTCAGCCGCAGGCGCGACGAACGGGACTGTCAGCCGCGGGCGCTACGGACGCGGCCGTCAGCCGCGGACGCCGCGGAGACGCCCACCAGCTGCGGATGCCGTGGACGCCGCGGAGACGCCCACCATCCGCGACGGACCCTGAATTAGGGTTTACTGCTACCGCCCGTGGAGCAGCCGGACCGCCCTGTCCCTCAAGACGGTGTCGTCCACCTCCCCTCCCTCCCTCCTCCTCCTCTCATGGCCAACGAATCAACCTCGCTTGAGCTTGCCTCCATCGACAAGCTCGAGCTCCTCAACGGCACCACCGCCGTCAATTGGGTGTCGTTTGAGGAGAGCCTCTTCACGTACCTGGGCTCCGTTCGAGTGGGAGATTACTGTCTCCTAGACATTGTCCTCGAAACACCTAATGGCCTCCCTCCCACCCCGCCCCCACTCCCAGGCCCTTCCCCCCCCGACGCCCCACCACTCCCGACCGAACCTACCCCCCAAGCCCCTATCCTAGGGGCTTGGGAGGATGATCCGGACAGGTGGGCTCGCACGCTCAACAAATACAACAAAGAGCGGGACGACTATGTCATCAAAAGCAGACCACACGCAGCGGCCATCGCCGATCACGAAGCTGCCGCTGCAAAACTTGCAGAATTCAAAGCCGCCTCCGAAGAGTACTCTGCTAAGCTCCGTAAGCACCACTCCGATACAGCTGCATGGCGCATTGCTGACCGCCGTGCACTTACTATCATCTTCTCATGTGTTCCCTCTTCTCTCAAGCGTGACCTTCGCCCCCCATCCTCCCCCTCCCTCTGGAAGTCTCTCTCCTCCCAATATGATCGCCAGGACCTACGTTCCCTCCTCTCCCTCTTTCGCACCTTCCAAGACATCACACTGGACTCCTCCCTCAACGCTGCTTCCTTCGCTCGGCGCCTCACAGACACTGCACACCGTCTCAATGATCGTGGCATCTTAATCTCCGACACCCTCCTCACAGCACGCATCCTTGACTGCCTCCCACCCACCTACGACACTTATCGCATCAATTTCACCTCCCAGCACATCCGTCCTCCTCCTGTGGCTGTTACCATCGACTGGCTTCTTGACAGTGAGGCTGACCTTCTGCGTGAATCTGCCTCCATCAATGCCGTTCATGCGCGCAAAGGAACAAACACCGGCGGAAGCAGCGGGGGCGGACCAGGACGTGGCCCGAGCGGTGGTGGAAGAGGAGGCGGTCGCGGAGGTGGACGAGGAGGGCGCACTGGGGAACGTGGCGGGCGTGGGGCAACCACTTCAACCACGGGTGGGCTCTCTCCGTGCCAGTATGTCATTCGCCAAGGCCCTAACAAAGGTCAGACCTGCAACCAGACCACCCATCCCACTGATACGTGCTTCAAAGCTCTCACCGACGAATGGCTTGCACGCGGCAACACGGGCCCTCCTCCACGCTGGAGCACCATCACCCCTCGCCCCACCCCTCATGACATTCGCACCCTTCCCGCCTATGCACCATCTCCCCCCAACCTCCATAATGTCCTCGCCCAACACCTCTCCCCTCACGTCCTCCAGCAAGTCCAACACCTCCTCCCCACACCCACCACCACCCCAACACCTCCCACCCTCACCACACCCACCCTCGCACCTCAAACCCCTCCCTCCTCCTATCCTCCTCTCTCCCCTTATCCTCCTCCTTACGCTGGCTGGCCCTACCCTCTCTACCCCCCATCTCTGTATGGCCATGGGACAGCTGCAACTGCTGCAACTGCTACAACTGCTGCAACTGCTGGACCTGCAGAACTGCCCACCTCCCCCTCTCACCCCCCGGGCTTCACACCGTTTCCTTCCACGGGTTTCATAGGTCATGTCACCACTGCTAGCTCTTGCAATGATCCTCTGTATGCCAATGCTATTAATGAGTCCTCATTCCAGTACTCCGAGTCCCCCTCCTCCTCAAAGCCCCTTGAGTTCATCCTTGATAGCGGAGCCACGCACACGGTCCTTCGTGACGCAGGCACGCTCCTCCCCCTCTCCACCCCCTCCACAATACTTGGGGCTGACTCCAGCTTTGCAATACAAAGCCGTTACACCTCCACACTCTGTTAGATTATACTACTCTGTTGTATCCTGCATTGATCCTATAAACCCTAGGATAGAGATATGCACCCAAACAATGTTTGGGTGCACAACTAGGGCTAACCCTAGATAGGGATTGGAACCCAACCTTGGCCCAATTATTGGACCCCAAGGTTGGGTTGGAGGATTATTGGTCCCCCCAATAATGTTGGCCCACTCTTGACCAACATTATTAGGACCCCCCAATAATTCCCCAACCCAACTTATTGGTGGGGGCCAATAATGTTGGCTAGGTACCGACCAACCCCCCTCTCCTTAGCTCCAACTATGTAAGCCCGCATCATTCCTAATCAAACTATCGGTTGAATTCTCACATGTTATCAGAGCCTTACGGCTAACACCACTCAAGATCCTAGGACCCTACTCTACCTCCCGCCGGCTCTGCCGTGCCCCTTGCGCTCCTTAGCGCACCTCCCGCCGGCTCAGCCGTGCCCCTTGCGCCTCTCAGCGCACCTCCCGCAGGCTCTGTCGTGCCCCTTGCGCCACTCAGCGCACCTCCCGCCGGCTCAGCCGTGCCCCTCGCGCCGCTCGGCGCACCTCCCGCCGACTCTACCGTGCCTCTCGTGCCACCTCGGCGCCCCTCTCCTCCCCACGTCCGCCCCTCGTGACGAACGCGCCCGTTAGCCGCGGACACGACGAACGCGCCCGTCAGCCGCGGACGCGACGAACGCGCCCGTCAGCCGCGGACGCGACGAACGCGCCCGTCAGCCGCGGACGCGACGAACGCGCCCGTCAGCCGCGGACGCGACGAACGCGCCCGTCAACCGCGGACGCGACGAACGCGCCCGTCAGCCGCGGACGCGACGAACGCGCCCGTCAACCGCGGACGCGACGAACGCGCCCGTCAGCCGCGGACGCGACGAACGCGCCCGTCAGCCGCGGACGCGACGAACGCGCCCATCAGCCGCGGACGTGACGAACGCGCCCGTCAGCCGCGGACGCGACGAACGCGCCCATCAGCCGCGAACGCGACAAAAGCGCCCGTCAGCTGCGGACGCGACGAACACGCCCGCCAGCCGCGGACGCAACGAGCGCGCCCGTCAGCCGCGGACGCGACGAACGCGCCCGTCAGCCGCGGAAGCGACGCACGCGCCCGTCAGCCGCGCGCGCTACGGACGCGGCCGTCAGCCGCGGACGCCGCGGAGACGCCCACCAGCAGCGGATGCCGTGGACGCCGCGGAGACGCCCACCACCCGCGACTGAACCCTAAATTAGGGTTTTACTGCTACCGCCCGTGGAGCAGCCGGACCACCCTGTCCCTCAAGACGGTGTCGTCCACCTCCCCTCCCTCCCTCCTCCTCCTCTCATGGCCGACCAATCAACCTCGCTTGAGCTTGCCTCCATCGACAAGCTCGAGCTCCTCAACGGCACCACCGCCGTCAATTGGGTGTCGTTTGAGGAGAGCCTCTTCACGTACCTGGGCTCCGTTCGAGTGGGAGACTACTGTCTCCTAGACGTTGTTCTCGAAACACCTAATGGCCTCCCTCCCACCCCGCCCCCACTCCCAGGCCCCTCCCCCCCCCGATGCCCCACCACTCCCGACCGAACCTGCCCCCCAAGCCCCTATCCTAGGGGCTTGGGAGGATAATCCGGACAGGTGGGCTCGCACGCTCAACAAATACAACAAAGAGCGGGACGACTATGTCATCAAAAGCAGAGCACACGAAGCGGCCATCGCCGATCACGAAGCTGCCACTGCAAAACTTGCAGAATTCAAAGCCGCCTCCGAAGCGTACTCTACTCAGCTCCGCAAGCACCACTCCGATACAGCAGCTTGGCGCATTGCTGACCGCCGTGCACTTACTATCATCTTCTCATGCGTTCCCTCCTCTCTCAAACGTGACCTTCGCCCCCCATCCTCCCCCTCCCTCTGGAAGTCTCTCACCTCCCAATACGATCGCCAGGACCTACGTTCTCTCCTCTCCCTCTTTCGCACCTTCCAAGACATCACATTGGACTCCTCCCTCAACGCTGCTTCCTTCGCTCGGCGCCTCACAGACACTGCCCAACGTCTCAATGATCGTGGCATCTTAATCTCCGACACCCTCCTCACAGCACGCATCCTTGACTGCCTCCCACCCACCTACGACACTTATCGCATCAATTTCACCTCCCAGCACATCCGTCCTCCTCCTGTGGCTGTTACCATCGACTGGCTTCTTGACAGTGAGGCTGACCTTCTGCGTGAATCTGCCTCTATCAATGCCGTTCATGCGCGCAAAGGAACAAACACCGGCGGAAGCAGCGGGGGCGGACCAGGACGTGGCTCGGGCGGTGGTGGAAGAGGAGGCGGTCGCGGAGGTGGACGAGGAGGGCGCACTGGGGAACGTGGCGGGCGTGGGGCAACCACTTCAACCACGGGTGGGCTCCCTCCGTGCCAGTATGTCATTCGCCAAGGCCCTAACAAAGGTCAGACCTGTAACCAGACCACCCATCCCACTGATACGTGCTTCAAAGCTCTCACCGACGAATGGCTTGCACGCGGCAACACGGGCCCCCCTCCGCGCTGGAGCACCATCACCCCTCGCCCCACCCCTCATGACATTCGCACCCTTCCCGCCTATGCACCATCTCCCCCCAACCTCCATACTGTCCTCGCCCAACACCTCACCCCTCACGTCCTCCAGCAAGTCCAACACCTCCTCCCCACACCCACCACCACCCCAACACCTCCCATCCTCACCACACCCACCCCCGCACCTCAAACCCCTCCCTCCCCCTATCCTCCTCTCTCCCCTTATCCTCCTCCTTACGCTGGCTGGCCCTACCCTCCCTACCCCCCATCTCTGTATGTCCACGGGACAGCTGCAACTGCTGCAACTGCTGCACCTGCTGAACTGCCCACCTCCCCCTCTCACCCCCCCGGCTTCACACCGTTTCCTTCCGCGGGTTTCATAGGTCATGTCACCACTGCTAGCTCTTGCAATAATCCTCTGTATGCCAATGCTATTAATGAGTCCTCATTCCAGTACTCCGAGCCCCCCCCCCTCCTCAAAGCCCCTTGAGTTCATCCTTGATAGCGGAGCCACGCACACGGTCCTTCGTGACGCAGGCACGCTCCTCCCCCTCTCCACCCCCTCCACAATACTTGGGGCTGACTCCAGCTTTGCGATACAAAGCCGTTACACCTCCACACTCCCCTGCCCCCTCTTTCCCTCAGGTACTGTCACAGGTCTCTATATCCCCTCCCTTCGGAACAACTTGGTATCCCTTGGTGCCCTCTCCGACTCAGGTGTCACCGCCATATTCCCTGGTCACAAAGCATATTGCGACTTATTTCACACCTCCTCTGGTCGCTTCCTCTGCCGTGTCCATCGGTGCCCCTCCACCCACATGTACACCTTCCGCATCCCCCGTCCCACCCTTCACCAACTCTCCACACCCCATCCCCCCGCCCCTTCCCCTCCTCTCGAACGTCCCCCTACCCCTCCCCCTCCCCCTCCCCCTCCCCCTACCCCTCCCCCTCCCCCTCCCCCTCAACCTCTCCCTTCCCCCGCCCCTTCCCCCCCCACATCTAACCCACCCTCCCCCTGTCACTGTCGTGATCTCACACACCCCACCATTCTCCTCCACCATCGCCTTGGCCATCCCAACTTTGCCACCCTTCGCCGATCCATTCTCACTAAACTCCTTGACGGCCTCCCCCTTACCCTTCCCCCCCTCCCTCCTTCCCCCTCCCCTCCTTGCTCAGTTTGCGTTGAAAGCAAGCTGAAGCAACAACCACATACGAGTAACCCCTCCTTTTCCCTCCAACCCATTGACCTCGTCCACATGGACCTTTGGGGCCCCAACCCCTCCCCCACCAGGCAAGGACATCGCTACCTCCTCATCCTGGTGGATGATCACAGTCGATACTCCTCCGTCACCCTCCTTCGTACGAAGGCGGAGGCCCCGGCTGCCATCACAGCCTGGGCTGAACAAGCACGCAACCACTTTGGTCGCCCTGTTCGCCGCTTCCATTCCGATGGAGGCGGTGAGTTCCTCAACCGTACCCTGTCCTCCTACTGCACCTCTCATGGCATTCTCCACACCTACACTCTCCCTCACTCCCCTCAGCAGAATGGTGTGGCGGAGAGCCGCGTTCGGGAGATCACCAAAACTGCTCGGTGCCTCCTCGTTCACGCCTCCTGCCCACCTTCTCTTTGGGGCTATGCCATCCTTCACGCTGCCATCCTTACTAACCTCTACCCCCACCCCTCTCGTCCCACTTCCACCCCCACCGAACTATGGACCTCCAGCAAACCTGACATATCCCCTCTGCGCGTTTGGGGCTGCAAGGCGTATGTCCTCATACACCCTGCCGACCGCTCACGCGCACGTGGAAAGCTTGCGTCTCGCACTCTCCCCTGTATCTACCTTGGACACAACGCCACCTCACCTGACTACCTTTTCCTCCACCCCCCCTCAGGCCGCCTCATCCGTAGTCGGGATGTGGTCTTTGATGAGGCCACCCCGTACTACTCCTCCCCCTCCGCCCCTAACCCCCTTCCCCCACTCCCCCGGCCCCTCCTCTGGACTGACACACTGCCCCTCCTCCCGTCCCCTGCCATGACCCCTCCCCCCCCTCCTCCACCTCTCCCCCCCGCTCCCCCCTCCTCCAGCTCATCCGGCGACATCCTTAACCCACCCCCCCCCTCCCCCTCCCACTCCACTACCTCACCTTCCGCTGCAACTCACCTTCCTCCTCCTCCTCCCCCTAATCCACCTCCCCCGCCCCCTTCCCCTCCCTCCCCCCTCCCCTCCTCTAACCCGCCCCCCCCTCCACCTCCCCCCCCCCTTCCCCGGCGCCCCTCCCCTACCCTTGTCCTTCCCCGCTATCCCCACACCCGCTCCCTGGACCCCATCCTTGGTTCCCCACAGACTTCCCCCCCTTCCCTCCTCGCCCTCACCGGTACTCCCCTCCCCCCCCGCTTCAGCCCCATCACTCCAGATCCACTGCGCAACCGCTCCGCGCTCCTGACTACACCACCACGCAGCCGAGCAGCAGCACTTCCATGCCTCAGATTCGACCTCCAGCGCAGCTGTCTTGCATCTTCACCACCCCCTCTACCTCCTCCTCTCTCTCCTCTCCTCTATGAAGACACCCACGACGAACTCCTCTTCCTCCACCTCCTCGCGCCCTCCATCGCCCCCATCGTCCGCACCATGGCGGGCACTCCAGTTCTTCTCTTTTCCGGCACCCCCACCATCTTCGAACCCACCACGTATGAGGAAGCTATTGCCTGCCTCGACGCACCACTCTGGATTGAAGCCATGGTCAGGGAGAGCAACGCCTTCATCCACAACCGCTCCTTCATCGACGTCCCTCGCCCTGCCAAGACCAATGTCGTCAAGGGCAAATGGCTCTTTCGTGTCAAGCTTCTCCCTGGCGAAGACCCTGTCTACAAAGCTCGCTATGTGGCGAAGGGCTTCACGCAGAAACACGGCTTTGACTTTTTTGAAACATACTCACCCACTGCTACCCCACCGGTCGTTCGGGTGTTCCTTGACTTCGTCGGCAGACGCGGCATGCTGCTACACTCCATGGATGTCACTACCGCCTTCCTCCAAGGCGATCTCCACGAACTCATCTTCATGGAACGCCCCAAAGGCTTTCACGCTCCACATGACCCGTCCACCGTTTGGAAACTGCTGCGGCCCGTCTACGGCCTCAAGCAGGCACCACGGGAGTGGCATGCCAAGCTCTCTTCCACCCTTCGCGAGCTTGGTTTTCGCCCCTCCCGAGCTGCCTCCAGCCTCTTCCTTCGGACGGCTCCGTCCCCTTTCTACATTCTTGTTTACGTCGACGACATGCTACTAGCTGCCGACACAGATGCTGAGATGCAGGAGGTCAAGGACGAACTACAGCGTCGACTTGCCTGCAAAGACCTGGGGGAGGTCCGCAACTACCTTGGCATGGAGATCACCCGCGACCTCAAGGCTAAGACTATCTCCCTCTCTCAGTCTTTCTACATTGAGAAAGTCCTTGAGAGGTTTGGAATGTCCAAAGCCAAACCCATCACCACTCCGCTTGCAGTTGGGCATCAACTTTCGCCCCCTGCCACCCCCACCGACTCCTCGAACCCCTATGCAGAACTTGTCGGGGCCCTGATGTATGCCATGGTCTGCACCCGCCCCGACCTTGCTTACCCAGTCAGTGTTCTGGCGCGGTTCGTTGGTGTCGGCAAACACACGGAGGAACACATGACGGCGGCCCGCCGTGTTCTACGCTACCTTCGGCATACGAAGCATTACTCTCTCACCCTCGGTGGAGCGGACCCACCGGTCCTCACTGGCTTCAGCGACTCGTCCTGGGCAGATTCACAACCTGACCGTCGCAGCTCACAAGGATATGGTTTCTCCCTTGGGAGCGGCCTCATCAGCTGGCGCTCCACTCGCTCCTCCTCCATCGCCCTCTCCTCCTGCGAAGCCGAACTATACGCAGTCACGATGGCGGCACAGGAAGCACGCTGGCTCAGCTATCTCCTCACCGACCTTGGCTCCCCACAACCATGTCCCACCATCTGGTGTGACAACGCTAGCACCATCCACCTCACCAAAGAAGCTGTCTTCCATGGTCGCTCCAAGCATATCGAGCTCCGCCACTACTTCGTCCGCGACCTTGTCCAGGATGGCCACATCACCGTGCGCAAGATCGACTCCTCCTCCAACCCCGCCGACATTTTCACCAAGGCCCTCGACCGCGCTACTCACTCGGCAATCTTGCCCCTCCTGGGCCTTGCCCCCCATGGTGACTGATTCAGGGGTTGCTGTCTTATCTCATCCAGGTTTAAGGATCTCTGCAGGCTAAGGGGTTGTGTTAGATTATACTACTCTGTTGTATCCTGCATTGATCCTATAAACCCTAGGATAGAGATATGCACCCAAACAATGTTTGGGTGCACAACTAGGGTTAACCCTAGATAGGGATTGGAACCCAACCTTGGCCCAATTATTGGACCCCAAGGTTGGGTTGGAGGATTATTGGTCCCCCCAATAATGTTGGCCCACTCTTGACCAACATTATTGGGACCCCCCAATAATTCCCCAACCCAACTTATTGGTGGGGGCCAATAATGTTGGCTAGGTACCGACCAACCCCCCTCTCCTTAGCTCCAACTATGTAAGCCCGCATCATTCCTAATCAAACTATCGGTTGAATTCTCACACACTCCCCTGTCCCCTCTTTCCCTCAGGTACTGTCACAGGTCTCTATATCCCCTCCTTTCGGAACAACTTGATATCCCTTGGTGCCCTCTCCGACTCAGGTGTCACCGCCATATTCCCTGGTCACAAAGCATATTGCGACTTATTTCACACCTCCTCCGGTCGCTTCCTCTGCCGTGTTCATCGGTGCCCCTCCACCCACATGTACACCTTCCGCATCCCCCGTCCCACCCTTCACCAACTCTCCACACCCCATCCCCCCGCCCCTTCCCCTCCTCTCGAACTCCCCCCTACCCCTCCCCCTCCCCCTCCCCCCCCCCCCCTCCCCCCTCCCCCTCCCCCCCCCCCCCTCCCCCTCCCCCTCCCTCTCCCCCTCCCCCTTCCCCTCGACCTCTTCCTGCCCCCGCATCTAACCCACCCTCCCCCTGTCACTGTCGTGATCTCACACACCCCACCATTCTCCTCCACCATCGCCTTGGCCATCCCAACTTTGCCACCCTTCGCCGATCCATCCTCACTAAACTCCTTGACGGCCTCCCCCTTACCCTTCCCCCCCTCCCTCCTTCCCCCTCCCCTCCTTGCTCAGTTTGCGTTGAAAGCAAGCTGAAGCAACAACCACATACGAGTAACCCCTCCTTTTCCGTCCAACCCCTTGACCTTGTCCACATGGACCTTTGGGGCCCAAACCCCTCCCCCACCAAGCAAGGACATCGCTACCTCCTCATCCTGGTGGATGATCACAGTCGATACTCCTCCGTCACCCTCCTTCGTACGAAGGCGGAGGCCCCGGCTGCCATCACAGCCTGGGCTGAACAAGCACGCAACCACTTTGGTCGCCCTGTTCGCCGCTTCCATTCCGATGGAGGCGGTGAGTTCCTCAACCGCACCCTGTCCTCCTACTGCACCTCTCACGGCATCCTCCACACCTACACTCTCCCTCACTCCCCTCAGCAGAATGGTGTGGCGGAGAGCCGCGTTCGGGAGATCACCAAAACTGCTCGGTGCCTTCTCGTTCACGCCTCCTGCCCACCTTCTCTTTGGGGCTATGCCATCCTTCACGCTGCCATCCTCACTAACCTCTACCCCCACCCCTCTCGTCCCACTTCCACCCCCACCGAACTATGGACCTCCAGCAAGCCTGACATATCCCCTCTGCGCGTGTGGGGTTGCAAGGCGTATGTCCTCATACACCCTGCCGACCGCCCACGCGCACGTGGAAAGCTTGCGTCTCGCACTCTCCCCTGTGTCTACCTTGGACACAACACCACCTCACCTGACTACCTTCTCCTCCACCCCCCCTCAGGCCGCCTCATCCGTAGTCGGGACGTGGTCTTTGACGAGGCCACCCCGTACTACACCTCTTCCTCCGCCCCTAACCCCCTTCCCCCACTTCCCCGGCCCCTTCTCTGGACTGACACACTGCCCCTCCTCCCGTCCCCTGCCATGACCCCTCCCCCCCCTCCTCCACCTCTCCCCCCCGCTCCCCTCTCCTCCAGCTCCTCCGGCGACATCCTTAACCCACCCCCCCCCTCCCCCTCCCACTCCACTACCTCACCTTCCGCTGCAACTCACCTTCCTACTCCTCCTCCCCCGCCCCCTTCCCCTCCCTCCCCCCCCCCCCTCCTCTAACCCGCCCCCCCCCTCCACCTCCCCCCCCCCCTTCCCCGACGCCCCTCCCCTACCCTGGTCCTTCCCCGCTATCCCCACACCCGCTCCCTGGACCCCATCCTTGGTTCCCCACAGACTCCCCCCCCCTCCCTCCTCGCCCTCACCGGTACTCCCCTCCCCCCCCGCTTCAGCCCCCTCACTCCAGATCCACTGCGCAACCGCTCTGCGCTCCTGACTGCACCACCACGCAGCCGAGCAGCAGCACTTCCATGCCTCAGACTCGACCTCCAGCGCAGCTGTCTTGCATCTTCACCACCCCCTCTACCTCCTCCTCTCTCTCCTCTCCTCTATGAAGACACCCACGACGAACTCCTCTTCCTCCACCTCCTCGCGCCCTCCATCGCCCCCATCGTCCGCACCATGGCGGGCACTCCAGTTCTTCTTTTCTCAGGCACCCCCACCATCTTCGAACCCACCACGGTTCAATTCTCACAGGTCAACCAGAGCCTAGGTCAATCAGAGCCTAGGTCAATCAGAGACTAGGTCAACCAGAGCCTAGGTCAATCAGAGCCTAGGTCAATCAGAGACTAGGTCACCCAGAGCGTAGGTCCATCAGAGCCTAGGTCAATCAGATCAGAGCCTAGGTCTACCAGAGCCTAGGTCAACCAGAGCCTAGGTCAATCAGAGCCTAGGTTAATCAAAGACTAGGTCAACCAGAGCCTAGGTCAATCAGAGCCTAGGTCAATCAGAGACTAGGTCAACCAGAGCCTAGGTCAATCAGAGACTAGGTCAATCAGAGACTAGGTCAATCAGAGCCTAGGTCAATCAGAGCATAGGTCAACCAGAGCCTAGGTCAACCAGAGCCTAGGTCAACCAGAGCCTAGGTCAATCAGAGCCTAGGTCAACCAGAGCCTAGGTCAATCAGAGCCTAGGTCAATCAGAAACTAGGTCACCAGAGCCTAGGTCAATCAGAGCATAGGTCAATCAGAGCCTAGGTCAATCAGAGACTAGGCCACCCAGAGCCTAGGTCAATCAGAGCCTAGGTCAATCAGAGACTAGGTCAACCAGAGCCTAGGTCAATCAGAGCCTAGGTCAATCAGAGACTAGGTCAACCAGAGCCTAGGTCAATCAGAGCCTAGGTCAATCAGAGACTAGGTCAACCAGAGCCTAGGTCAATCAGAGCCTAGGTCAATCAGAGCCTAGGTC